CATTCATTGCAGCTTTTCAAGGCATCTGTGACTAAAGTGATATTTTCATTGGTCTATCATTTCATTAATACAGGTAATGCTTCCATCAATAATCAGATAATAGCAACTTCTCATCTTTTAAAATTCTCATCCATGTTTCTCAATAAGTCTTTGATAGACTATCTCCTTGATTCATAGGAGGCTTTCCTCCAGCATGTGGTTCAAGCATTAACTATATTCCTACAAAATAATTGTTTCTAAGAAGGGAAGGGATAATTTGAAAAAGGAAAGAAATCCTGCCTAAATCAGCTATGTACAATAAGGATAAAAAAAACTAAGAAAAATTTTAGGCATCCTTTTCTCAGCCTATGTCAATATATGCTAAGAAAATTTAAGCTAGCACATTTTAACTTCAAAGCATAATATATACATATTACAAACACATATATACCCTATCATCCCCAAGAACTTCTGAAAAAGGCCACTAGGAAGAAAATTGCTGAAGAAAAAAAAAATTCAACCTAACAAGTCAAGACACGCCTTTTCTCTATCAGTTTATCTTCATACAAATATAATGTGCTACATTTGTTACACAGGTTCTCCCCTCCTCCCCCAAAGGGAGATGGGTGGGAAATAAAATTAACATTTACTGAAAATATATAATTCAATTTTTAAAATCAATATAATATGCTACTGTATTTCCAAAAGGGCTTTAAAAATCAGTTTTTATCTGAAGGGGCCCTAAAAATCAGTCATTCCCATTCATTCCTCTTTGCAATTTTAAATTTGACACTGTAATGTGAAGACCTAAGGACTAAAATGAAAAGCACCTCTCTTAAAAAAAAATTTTTTTAATTCATATATAACAATTTTCACAAGGGAAAACATCTATTTAACCAGTAGGCTAAGCGTGTGGCAAGAACTCCACACCCCGGTACCCTATTCTTCCCTCCCTAGTAGCCAATATAGAAAGCAAATATGAGGATGCCAACAGCTAAAGGAAAGAGTGCTAATGATATCACAACAATGCTGCCCTATTGCTGGAGGAAGGGCTTGTCTTAAAAGTCAGCTTTTGTCCCAGATTGATCCCTATCTACCTAAAAAGCCACCCACCCCTCAACCTATTACTTTTTTGACCAAAAGGTTACAGAACACAGAGAATCGTGCCACAAACCCTTGGGCAATTCTAATTTGGATTGCCATCCAAGACTGGGAACCAATAATTTAGTCCAATGACCTTCATTTACATATGGGGAAACCATGGACCAGAAAAGTTAGAAAAGGAAGGAAATAAATGAGCATTTTTTGGGGGCTTTTTTTGGTGAGGCAATCGGGGTTAAGTGACTTGCCCAGGGTCACACAGCTAGTAGGTTTCAAGTGTCTGAGGCTGAATTTGAACTCAGGTTCTCCTGACTCCAAGGCCAGATCTCTATCTATTGTGCCACCTAGGTGCCCCAAAACAAGCATTTATTAAGTGCCTACTAGGAGCTAGGAGCTTTAAATATATATATATATATATATACATGTATATAATATATATATATATATCATTTGATCCTCACAATAAAGTATGTGCTAACAACCCCAATTTACAGTAGAGGAAATTGAGGCAGAATTCAAGTGACTTGCCTAGGGTCACACAACTAGAATATCTGAGTGTACATTTGAACTCTGGACTTAACTGACTTCACTGCCACTCATCCCAAATTATGGAACTTGCTCAAAGTCATACACAGCTAGTTAAAGGAAAAGTTAGGACTAAAACCAAAGTCCTCTGACTCCTGCTCTGGTATTCTTTCCATTACATTGTGCTGTCACGCAACAGAGCTTCATAACTGGTTTTGTTAATGTTACTGAATCCATAAATCTGATTAGGTATAAAACTTTTTTTTAAAAAATCAGAAATATACTCCCAAAGAACTGGAATAGAGAAAAAAATCAATCCTTAATAATAAGGTTAAATATTCCCTTAATATATATAGTATATTCCAAAAGTCTTAGTGTAGTTTTAAGTTAGTAGGCTTAAACCTTGTATTTAAATGGAAGAATAAAGCAAAACACTGAACTAAATACTGGGGAAGACAATATAAAAAATGTAAATAATGTAAACAAGGGTCCTTAAGTAGTTTACAGTCTCATAGAAGACACTAAAACAAACATATCAATAACGTTTACATGGAATAGAAATATCCCCCCTCCAAATGAGAAATAAGGTTCAATGAGAATTCAATAGAATGTGAAATCATTTACATTGAGGATGATCAACCTAAGTACATTACAGAAACACTGGTTCTCACAGACTTGTGGTTAAAATGACGATATCAAAGATGACAGGAAAACTAATTGTCTCACATACACTAAAGCAAAGATTATGAAAAAAGCACCTAATCCTGATCAAGAGACCCAAAGAGAACACAGTAAACTTCTCTATTCAGCCCAGAAATGTACAAAAAAACCCCCAACAAAACCCAGTAGCCCTAACAAATGGGTCCCACCAGGTACCCTGAGTGCAGGGTCAACAGCCCCAGTGCCTATATGTGCTATGACCAGAGATGGGGGAGAGGGGTGAGCAAACAGTGTTCTGGATAAGGGAGTTCCAAAGCCACGTCTGCCTATGGGAAGTGAAAAGTGAGTAGAAAGTTTGCAGGACTCTGACAAGGATGCTCAAGAGATGACCACCCCCCTACTCATCCACAGCCCACAGGACTCTGAATGAAGAAACAGTAGGCCCAGGAGGAGAGAGTAGCTCCACAGCAACTATCTGCATGGACCGAGAGGAAAAAAATAGTATAGCCACAAAATATTCTGGAGTATTTGGAAATGAAGCAAGAGACAGAAAATTAAATCACAGCTCTAGAGCTAAGAGCAAAGTGCAGAAAAGCTTCCCGTAGTGGACTCCCTGGAAATTAGGTTGAAACAAATAGAATTCAGACTCCTGGAGGCCACAAAAAATATTAGAACAAAGTCAAACGATTAGAACACAGGAAACTGTAATGTTTCTCCTATTAGTAACAAATAACACAGAAAATAAGTTGAGGAGAGATCATTTAAGAATCATCAAATTCCCTAAAAATCTTGATCAAAAAAAAAACCTGGATATCATATTTTGAGAAGTCATAAAAACTGGGTAGATCTAAGAGAACCAGAAGGTAAAGTAAAAATAGAAAGAATCTATCAATCATCTACTAAAAGAAACCCCAAATTGAAAATACCCAGAAATGTTATAGATAAATTGCAGAGCTTTCAAATCCAAGAAAATATATGACAAACAGCTAGAAAGACTTCAAATACTAAGGAAACACAGTCAATTACTAGACAAGATTAACCTGCAATAATATAAAGGAAAGAAAATCTTGGAATATAATATTCTAAAAGGCAATGGCTTACAAGCAAGAATAATGTACCTTGCAACGTATAATTATAAAAGGCAATAACTGGTTCTTTAATAGACTGGAGGACTTTCAAATACAAAAAGGCCAAAGCTGAATAGAAATTTTGAAGCAAAAACACAGAAGTCCAGAGAAACCTAAAAAGGTATATATTTGAGCAATTGGAAGAGACTGAATGAGATAGAACTTCTTATATTCCAGCAGAGGGAGAAAGACAAGTGCCCCTTCAGAATCTCACTGTCTTCAAGGGGCATAGGAATTTAAAAAGATAACTCCAAAGCAAGGGGTGGTTTTGGGGTTTTTTGGTTGAAGGTTTTAAGAGAAGAAAAAAAAATGAAGGGAAAAAAGGAATAATACAGGGAAAAACTTACTGTTTCTCATAAATGAGGTTGTGTGAGGATAAAAATGACCAGTAGAAGGTGGGGATATCTCATAAACTTCATTCTGATCTGAACTGGAGGAAGGAGAGTTAATACCCAAAGAATCTTGTACAGAGGCACATTAGACTGAACAGAATAAGGGAACAAGAAATTTTAAAGAAGATTGGAGAATAAAAAAAGTAAAACATCTCTCACAGCTAGCAAACTGCTATCACCTAGAACAGGCCTGTACAACCTGCGGCCTATAGGCTGCCTACAGCCCGCTGCCCACTTGCAGCACGCCAAAGGATTTCCTCTTACATACAAAGGATATTTTCCTCTACATTTTTCATGGGCCACCCAAAATCCTTTGGTGGGCCACAGGTTGTGCAGGCCTGATCTAGAATCATGCAGAACGTTTAAAGCTATTTTTTCATTTCTTGATGCTATACAACATAACCAAACAAAAGAACTTCTTACTCTGAAACCAGTGAACCTGATGTATATTTAAAAAGGAGAGAAACAACCATGAAAGCCCACATTCTTTCTTTCAGACTTCTAAGAAAATTTCAGTGGAAAGTTAAAAATTAGTTCAGAGTGTCCACTAACAATTGTTTTGGTTCAAAACAACAATCAGGATGTCTCAGTCATATTCACAATATATATTTATTTTATGACTGTGGTGACTGTGTTAAGTATTAAAGTCCCAGGAAGAAGAAAAACTCTGATTATTAACATTTACAAAATTCAGCTTTGTTAATATCTTTCCATAGCTCTCTGGGAAGAGGTAGGAGAAGAATACAGTGGGAAATGTAGATGATGTAAAACAAAAGATGTCAATAAACATTTATTCTTAAAAATAACCTTTCTAAATTTATAAAGTTTATAAAAGTGTATAACTTATAAAATGTACACATATTTACACATAAAATTTATAAAATGTATATTTATACATTTATATTTTCTTTGAAAAAATGAACAAATATGAAAAATGACAAAACCTACTTTTTTAAAAATTAAAAATTATGATAGTAGGCTTACTTCTTAATTTCTTAAGATTAGAGGCATTTCCTTTAATACTCTCAAGTTTGAATAATAAAAGTCACAGCCTCACACCTAAACATTTGGGAAAAGATTCATACGGAAGAGATGTACAAATATAAGTATAGTATTCACATGTAAGTGAAGTTTAATAAATACATTCTATTAATAAAACTATCCATTTTGGACAAACAAAAAAAATTCTGATTTAGAGAATTAATTTTCATCCTACCTTCCACTACATCATGATGTACAGCTCTTTATTCTGTCAGTTTTTCACTTCTCGCAGTGTCTGAGGAAAACAAAATAACATTCAATTTTTGGCACTTCATTTCCAGTTCATTATTTCCTTATAAATGTTATATATAAAATATTTCATATGCATAGGTTTTCAATGAAATAATAATATTCCCTTGTCAATTCAATCCTTTCTAATTCCTATAATGGAAGGGGCCTAAACAAATCACTTTTCCATCAGAGAGCCTTTGCAGGCTGATTTTTATCCACTATCTTAAATTGCCCAAATGACTAGTCACCAGAAGAGCCCTAAGCTTACTACGTAATCTGCTCAACCATTCCTCACAGTGCCAGGAAAAAAATCATAAACAAAGAATATTCAAAAGGAAAATATCATAAAATGGCTCCGAAATCAGACAATCTCTATCTTCTAAAAACTTTTATTATATTTTTCCTTTTATTAGGACTGTGTTCCTGACCAGAGAAAACAGCCAAAGCTACTTTCTAGTGAAACCAAGAGCAAAGCAAATGATATTTCTTTGGAGAGATCATAAAAATATAGTCTGCTTCTATCAGTATTAACTATATCAGCAAGTGGGGAAAGTAAAGGGAAAACCTTAAACAGATTACTCTAAACATAGCATGTGGAAAATATCCCTTCTTATTCAAAAACCTTGAACTTCACAACAACCTTATGAGATAAGGTACCATTATTATCTCAATTTTAGAGATGAGAAAACTGAGACAGAGAAGTTAAGGGACTTGCTCAGTGACACACAGCTAGTAATGCAGATCTGAGCTCATCTGGGGCAGGATTACAACTTAGCAATAAGCCTTTCTGACTCCCAAGTCCAATGTCACCTAGCTGCTTCAAGAATGCATAAGGTAGCAATACCACTATTAGGTCTAAACGTTTTCCAACAGTGGTCAAAAGGAGAAAAATCTATATGTTCTAAAATATAAAGCAGCTCTCTTTGTGGTGGCAAAGAACTGGAAATTGAGGGGACGGCCATCAACTGGGGAATGGCTCAACAAGCTGTTGCATATGATTGGGATGGCACACCACCGTACTGTCAGAAATGATAAGCAAGCTGATTTTAGAAAAACATGGAAAGATTTAGATGAAATAAGGAAGAGTGATATAAGCAGAACCAAGAGAACGTTGGTTACAGTAACTGCAATATTGTTCAAAGAATAACTGAATGACTAAGCTATTCTGGGAATTCTAAATATTCAAATTAATTACAAAGGACCTCTGACAGAAGATGCTATCCACCTCCAGGAAAGGAATTGATAAATAAAAGCATGCATAATATGGTTTTACATGTACACACACACACACACACACACACACACACACACACACACACACATATATATTACATATATATATATGTGTGTCAAATGGTGGCTTCTAGTGTTAGAGGGAGGGAGACAGTTTGGAACTTAAACATAAAAAAAATTTAATCTTTTAAAAAAAGAATGTATAGAATAGATAAGAAAAGCGAGGAATGAAAGAAAGACTCTCAGATTTTTAAGCCTAGATTATATGGAAAAGAACAGTGACTAAGAGGACAGCAGTACTATCAACAGAAACAGAGATGCAAAGATTTGAAGGCAGGTGAAGTCAGTTTTAAATATGATGAGTTTGAACATCCTGATGGATATCTGGCAAAAAGACATGTAGGACTTTCGGGGTCTGGAGAGAGGATAAAGTTAAGAGATATACTATATTATTTTGAATATTGGCATGACTTTTCCTACAAAGCCTGAATGTGTAAAACCTGAGTCAATCTTATAATCAGGTTGTTATTTTAACTCATTTTGATCACCAGTGCTTTCTTTGTAAAAAGGCAAAGAGCAATGATAATTAAAATATATATATCTTGACTTGAATTAAAAGAAATGTAAATGATATTTCACAGTAAAATTCTCCCTCCTACTAACTTATAATTACACAAGTAAATAGGCCACACTTTCTATCCCCAAGTAGAATATGAGCTTCTTGAAGGCAGACATTGCTTTTCATACTCCCCACTAACATAGTACCTAGCATGTGATAGATGTTCAATGTTTGTTGAAATGAAATGAATTTTTAATAAGGTAATATTATTTACCTTATTACATTTAACTTATTTAATAAGGTAATGTAACTTACCTTATTAATATTACAAGGGATGGCTCTCTGGGTAGGGGAGAAATATATTCAGAAATGAAGATATATTCAGAACTGTATCAAAAAACTTTTTAAAAACAAAACACTGTAGAATTATTTTTCAGTATAGGTGTGTATTACACATACGTACAAACATATTTTTCCCTCCTCTGCAAAGAACTCTCACTTTAGGAGTGAGGGCCATATCGGGGATTAACCTATACCAGCAGTAGATTTAGTGGTCACCCCTGAGAAGCTATCACTGAAACTATAAGAATAGATGCCATAACAAGGGAGAGATATGGTAGAAGAAAACAAAGGTCAAAGACAGTATGAAATGTTGAACATGTCCCCTTCCTTAATGTGGACAGGGTTGGGGGATGGACCACACACATCTGTTATGTGAGGACCAAACAGCTAAGTCAGAGACTGTTGATCATTATCAGGCTGACTACAAGACAATGAACTTTCTAACCACAGTGACTCTGGGAAGCTTGCTATCACAGATGCTGTAATTATCAAAGTATCAGTTATTATAAACAATATTATTTAATTTTTATTTGCCTATGCATCGTATCTAACGCAGATAAGTTCCTATAGACAAGAATCACAAGGTGTTTTTTTTTCTAGACTACCTACGCCAAAACTCTGTGGCTAAAAGGTGACAGGTATAATAGAAAAATTCAAATATTAATTCAAGGAGGTAAAGCACCCAGTTCAACAAAAGCAGTGGATTCTTTAAAAGAGAATAAAACTTCCTGAAGGACTGAATTCCTCTCAAAACACTGGGTGATGTCAGAAATTGTATAGTGTAGTAAAGAGAAGTGAAACCTGAGCTGGAGTTAACTCTGCCACTTAGCTTTTCTGTGCTCTACTTTAGTATTCTCCTCTGTAAAAGAAGTGAGTTTTACTAATGTTTACCCCATCTACCCCAACTACTTCACAGGGTTGTACAACAAAAGCTTATTAAGCCTCAACTACATACAAACATACATAAATATGGTTCCCTCCCCTCAAATGGCTTACAATCTAGTAGGAAGTACTCACTGCTTCTTGCAGTCTATCATCATTTCTCATTGCCATCACTATTACCACTGCTAATCTCTACCACTCTCCTTTATTTCAGAAGGATCACATGACATAATACACATGAAAAAGCTTTGTAGACCCTCTATTAAAAAAAGGAGCAATTATTAACTGTACAATTTTGAACAAGTCATTTTCATTCTCTGGGTCTCTATTTTCTTATCTATACAGGGGAGATTATTTTTGTCCTTACCATGTCATGGGTTTTAAGAATTAAATGAGAAAGGAAAATGAGTCAGAGCGATCTAGAATCCTAGGTTTAAAGGTAGAAGGAACCTTCAAAGTCATCTAGTACAAATGAGGAAACTGAGTCTCAGGGAGGCAAAATGAGTTGCCCAAAGTCACATCAGAGTGGCAGCACCAGGACTGAATTTCAGGTCCCCTAACTCTAAACTGGACAAACTTTCCACAGCACCAAAGATATGGAGGTAGTACTCCACCAAAATTCACCTGTCCACTAAGTGGGAGTAGCCACCTCCTCTACAGAAACCTCTTCAGTTGGGGGCATCAGTAACAGATAGCTCCAAGTAAAACTTTGCCATGTTGATTCTCTTAAAGACCAAACAATGGGCAGAGATGGCAGCCAGACTTGAGGAAATCCCAGGAAAGGTTGTAGACTGGCTTGGAAATGGAAGAATGAGACAGAACTGTGCCTGGACAGGGCTCCCAACAGGATAGGTGCTTTTCTCATTTAGGGACAGAGAGGAGTTAGCTGGTACAGTGAATAACCACAGACAAGCCACACAGATGATGTTCAAGAAGCCATGGAAGCAGGGTTTCAAGCATGGAAGACAAGGACCCAGTATTGAATCCTGCCAAGGAAAGACATAGTATCCACCAAGAGCATGATACAATGGAGGGAAGGCAGTCACAGCCCAGCCAGTTTCCAGAACCCAAAACGAAGGAGAAAGTAAAACCAGGTTTACAACATATGCCTCAAATACAGGAAAGCCGCCTGGGGCTATAAGAGGAAAAGGCAATAAATAAGCCTATCAAAAGAGAGAGAGAGAGTAAGAAAATGACAGACTACAGATGGTGATAAGGTGAACAAGTGATAGGAAGCCAAGGTAGGCCAGGGATGAATGGTGAAGCTAAGGAGTGGACCCGTGATTTCAGTAGTATAGGAAACTCCCAGGTAAGACATCTCTCTCTCTCTCTCTCCCAATCTTAGTATTGGGGTACATGGCGTGTTCAGGAGGACTAGCACCTCTGATATGAGCTGCCAAGCCCTTTTCAGGGCTGCTCATCCACCTTTGGTATCCACATGATTCACCCAACTCTCACTACAGCTCCAAGAAGCTGTAGTACATGCAGAAGCCACACCCTTCTCCCTTCACAGAACATAAGCTAAACCAGGTTGAGAGTAACCAACAGGCCTCAAAGTTGTGGGTGAGTGAGGGGGATGTCTACCCTGAGCATGTGAAGACTTTCCCAGTGGAATAGGCAGATGACAACAATTTATTCCAGCGGCCCTGAAGGCTGCAGAAGCAGGTGCTGTGGAATGCTTACAGCTCATCAGACCTCAAAGACACCAAGGTCATCCACTGCAGCCTGAGAAGAAAGAGTGAGGCCAAAGACTTCTTGCAACTCTGCCTCACTTAAATCCAATTTATGAGAAAGCCAAGACATCACCATGATATAACTTTCAAAAAGGATGAAGAATAACAACCAATCTAAGTCAGCACCTCCTTTAAAACTACAAGTCTTAGAGAGTTGCCTAGACAGACCTCTGATAAGTGACTTGTCCAAGGTAATACAGCCAATATGAGTCTAACATAGTGTCTGAACCCAGGTATTGTTGACTTCAAGGCCAGCTCTCTCTCCACTATAAACACCACGGTGCATCTGAATGATGAAGAGGCATGCAAGTAAATATAAATATAGGAGAGAGTACAGCCCCAGATGAGAAAAGAAAATAAGGTGGATCTGCTTTAGAGGAAGTGGCCATGCCCAAGGTCCAAGGAAGAACATCTAGAGAAATAAAAGCAAGGAAAGAACAAGTCCATGGTATGCAGAGTTGTAAGAAGATTTACAAGATACAGATATACAAGAGGGAAGAGCCACATAGAGCCTGAGACGTGTGGAAATGGCTGGGGAAAAAATGTTAAGGGGGAAAAGCAAAGAGGGAGCTAAAAGTAAACAATAAAGTACTAAATGTACAGAAATAATGTAAATTATAACTGAAAATATAAAGAGGTTATATTGTAATAGCAAGATGATGTACAATACCAGAGACCTGACTTCTAGAACTGAGAGCACTAGAGAAACAAGAAACAAGAATGAAAACAAACTTGAGCAGTGCTTGGGAGAACCCAAATGTATGAAAACTGTTTTCCCCCTTTTGGGAGTTGAGGGAGGAAAAGGGAGTTTGATAACAGACTTCAGAAGAATTAGAACTATCTAATATGTATATGCAGGAGAAGAGGAAGTGGGATAGGATCCACACTTGTGATTTAGATAAAATGGGGAACTCCAAATGTGGCTACTTACAGGTATACAGACTTCACTGAGGTACTGAAAGGTTAAGTGACTTGTTCAAACTAGTATGAAAGAAAAACTTAACAAGTCCTCCTGACTCCAAATCCAACCCTCTATCAAACCATGTTACCATTCTAAAATACCATTTTGTTAATAAAACCTGTGAGACTAAGATGAGAAATTATACAAATTATATGAAAAGACTTTGAAAGGTACCATACAAATTTAAGGTATTACTGTACTGTTGTTGGCTTTCAACTCAATCAATAGCAAGATGCTTCACTAAACCATCTGTATAGACAGACAAGCTTCCTAGATTGATCTTTCAAGAAACTGAGAATAGGATCCAGTTGCCATTTAGAATTTCAGCTTTTGCATAAACTAGATATATACCTTGCCCTGAGACACAGAGCTTGATAGTATTGGGCGAGTACGGCAAAGCAAAATCTCTTACTACTTTTAACTTTCGTAAGAATTTCTTGAAACAATTCTAACATAATTAAATTCAGCTTAAATGAGTCGGGCAGAGTCAGAAAGCACTTAAACTGCTTAGAAGCTTTTTGAAAGAAAGCACAAGATGAAAAGGTCTCTACTATAGCTACTTTAAAAATCCCCACATGTGCCAGGCAGAGAAACTTGATTAGCAATTGCAAGGTATTAGAAGAAATTGGTCCCAGTTTCGGCAAAGAAAATTGTTTGGAACACTGACTCCAATAGTCAGTTGTCAAGTTAATAAGATCTGAAACTATTTTAAGAGAAGTTCACCACCCACAACAAAGAAGACTCAACTGGTCAAACCATACCTTGAATACTACATTCTAGGTGTCACTTTTTTAAGACACGTTTGGAAATCATGGTATATGAGAAATACTGAAGAAACTAAATACGTTTTCTGTCCAAAGAACACTTAGGGGTAACATGACTAAAATGACTAAAATATTAAGAGTTATTCTGTACAGTTCCAAAGAGAATAATTTGCTGCAATGGAAGGAAATTATGGGGAGGCAGATTTCAGCTCAATCCAGAGCTGACAGTTAAGCTGCCCAAAATTGAAATGGACTACATAGCAAGTTCCTCCATGATTGGAAGTGTTCAAACACAAGTTAGATGACCACCTGTCAGGACCGTTAAAGAGGGACTAAGTAGACAAAACTTTTTAACATGCTTTTACTCTAAACAAAAAGCTCCTCCAAGACTACGAACAAGTGCTTTGTACCTGCTCAGGGCATCTAAAAAAGTACCAATGATGTGATAAGGTAAGTTAACAAAAAATCATCATACTTTGGACCAGTGGAAAGACTTGGGGCAAGCAAAGCATTTATTTCCGGAAGGGACTAGCTGAGTGAGCTTACGTAAATTTCTTAAGTTCCTTTAGGGCATGGACTATTGTCTATTTTTGTCTTTGTATACCCAGCCCATAATGCGCTTCATATGTTTGTTAAATTGAACTGCAAAACAAGTGAGGCTAAAAAACAACGGGACAGAGCTTTTATTTAGTCCTATGGGTTAATGTAAAGGACAAAAGACACATTTTATAGATTTATCTTTATGAAGTATAAGTTTTACAAGATATTTTACCTACTTATCTTATTTGATCTTCCCAACAACCCCTATGAATTCGTACTAGTCAATTACCAACATTTCACCAATGAGGAAACTAAGGTTCATTCTGACTTCCGCGAGGTCACAGCTAGTACAGGTCAAAACCTCCACCAGACCCCCAAATCTTCTAGCATCTCTTTCCACTACACTACATTTCAGCCTCCATATGAGCACACATTGCAGCTGGAAGGGATTTTTTTTTTTGGTAAGGCAATTGGGGTTAAGTGACTTGCCCAGAGTCACAAAGCTAGTGAATGTCATGTGCCTGAGGCTACATTTGAACTCAGGTCCGCCTGACTCCAGGGCCAGTGCTCTACCCACTGCGCCACCTAGCTGCCCCTGGAAGGGATTTTTGAGATCTATAGTTCAATCCACAAGATGAGCCTCAGGATCTAGGAAGGTAGTGATTTGCCAAAAGTGAGTACAGAATCCTTAAGTTCCAATCTCCTAACAAGGAAGTAAAGGGCCTCTTCCCTTTACATCAATTACCTACAACTTAGATTCTCATTCAAAATTACAAGAAAGTCTAGTCTTCCGGACCTGGAAAAAAAACACATGAAACTGCCTTCCTCTTCCATTATCTTGAATGCTTTGACCCATAAAATGCTGTGACAAGCAGATATCACCTACACAAGCTCCAAGTCCCCCTCTGAGGTAAACTGGATTAGATCCGTGTGTTTGAGAATGAAAGAGTGAGTGAATAAGAATCCCTTTTGAGAAATTTTGCAAATGGGAAAGGGATAGTGGAACCAGCAGAGACCTGATGAGATTAAAAAAAGAGACCTAATTTTCCCTTCCACACAGACACATCTGGAGAGCCATGCTGCTTTTGCTAGCTCTAGCAGCTGCTGAGGTTTTCCCCTGTTATCAGACCAGCCCAAGGGCTGTAAAAATAGATAGCACACCAAGCGCAGGGGAAAGAACCTTAAAAAAAAATGCTAGAAATTGGGTGGTAAGAGGTATGAATGAGCAAGTTGCCAGACGTCACCATGAGTGAGTGGCTTTTAAAAATCAGACAGCAAAGATGGGGAAGCATGAAGAGAGCAGTCCCCAGAGGAGGAATGAGATGTGACAGAGGGGAAGATAGGGACAGTGTGGATAACAGAGTAAGAGAGGGAAAGGGAGAATGGAAAAAGAGATAGTTAAACACTTCTGGGGAAAGATCAGAAGGGCTGACTTGGAAGCTTAGCGACGGTGACCAAGGCAGAAGCATGAAGGGAAAGGCCAATGGGGAGATCTCTGGGGCTGTGGACGGGAGCAGATGAGGCAGCAGCCCGGCTTGGGGATCAGGACACATGACAGAGGCTGGGCTAGGGGTGACAGCTCACTGGTGGCAGCTGGGGAATGCGGCATCCTTTCCCGATCCTGGCATCCTTTCCCGATCCTATCTCTTCCCCTGTAGGGACACATTACCGGGAGGGAATGGGGGCGATAAGCGGGTATGGGGACAAGGAGGAGGTGATGGCATAATGCAGCAACACGGGGAGGCCGGCGAAGGAGGAGGGCAGGAGACGGCAGCATGAGCTGGGCAGGATGACAAGACACAGAGACACCAGCAAGGGAAGGGGTGGAGAGGGGCAGGGAGATGAGGTGCGGGGCCCGGAGCCTCAGAGGACTTCGGGGGAAGAAGGGGAGGGTGAGCCGAGGGCAGAAACAGGGGGCAGGGCCTCGGCCTCCCGGAGAATGGGCTCCACAGCCAGCCACAGGGATGCCTCTAAGGGACGGGAGCCCAGGGACCCGAAGGATGAAGCCAGGAAGGGGGCTTGGGGATGCACTAGAACGGGGAGGAGGAGGAAGCTTCAGCGTCCCAAATGCACCAAGTGCACCTGACCCCCGAGCCAGGGATGCGCACAAGGGCGAAGACCCGGGGCATAAGCCCAGGAGTGGGGGCCTTGAGATGCATCGGAGGTCAGGAGGAAGGGGCCTTGAGTATACTTGCGGCCGGGAGAGGGGCGGGAGGAACACTTCAGCGTCCCAAGTGCACCAAGAGCATCTGACCCCGAGCCAGGGATGAAGAGGGGCGACCTGAGGATAAGCACGGGAGGGTGGGGGATGCACTTGTGAGAAGCAGGAAGAGGCAGCCTGGGGATGCACTGGAGGGCAGGAGGGCTGTGGGATGCACTTGTGGACCCCAGGGGTCCTCGGCGCCCAGAGCGGACCTGCCCCCGGAGCCCGGCGTCTAAGGATGCGGTGAAGGATGGAGGGGGAAGAGCCGGAGGATACGGGCTGCAGGCAGATCTACACCCCCGGAAGACGGTGGCTGGAGGGGTCCCGCTCCGGGCGGGGGAAGCGCGGGGCGGGGGCTAAGCTCCTTGCGGGCAGGCATTGTTTCACTCCTGCCTTTGTACCCTCGGCGCCCAACAGCGCGGGCACATAGTAGGCGCTTACTAATCGCCGAGCTGGCGATGCGGAGGGAGAGAGGGGGGCGGGCCACGCAGGACCCGGGACCCGGCGGCCCAAGGCTGGGGCAGGCCCGGCGCGGGGAGGGAGGGTCCCGGGTCGGAACCAGGGGCGGGGTGACCCGGCTCGCGGTCCGGTCCCGCCCCGCCCGGGGTCGGCGCGCTCGCTCTCACCTGGGCCGGGCTGCCGGCGGCCGCGCCGCTGCCTCGCCCAGAGCCGGAGCCGGAGCTGGAGCCGGAGCCGGAGCCGGAGCCGCGTGTCCTCCTCAACCTGCTCCCGCTCCCGCTCCACCTCCGCCGCCTCCAGACGCCGCTGCTGCTCCCGCCGCCGCTGCCGCCGCCGCTGCCGCCTGCAAAATGGCGCCGCCGAGGGGAGGGCAGGAGGCGGGGGAGGCCGCGGGGAAGCCAAACCCCCCAGCCCTCCCCCTGCCGCCGCCGCCGCCGCCGCCGCGGCCTCCTCCTCCCCCCTCCCCCTCTACTCCGCCCCCCCCGCGACACACCCCCTCCCCCCCCGCGGGCGCCGGCACGCGAGGCGCCCTCTCGCCGCCCCGATTTCGTCAGCACCCTCCCCCAGCCCCGCCTCTGCCCTCCCCAGGGGCCTACCTTCACCCCCCAGCCTCGCTCCCACCCCTCCGGCCCCTCAATGCCCTTTGCGCCCTGATCTTCCTCCCGTCCAGTCCGGCTCCTTTCCTCTTTCCTTACCTAACCCTGCTCCCCCAAATGAATGGACCTCTGCCCTTTAAAAAAGAAAAACAGCCAGGGAGGAGAGATTCCGGACCCCTCCTTCATTTCCTAACCCACATGTCCCAGCCCTGACCCCCGACCCCAAACCCTTTAAATCAGGGCATTCTATCTCAAATTCTTCGAATTGGTCCTAATTAAATCTCTTCAACCTCGTATCATCCCATTTCCCCCAAATTCTCCTTTTAATTCCCCTTCTGAGGAGGGTTGCCACTTCTAAATTTAAATTCGCTTTGCCTTTACACCTGCCAGGCTTTGGACTAAAGGCGTTCCTAAGAATAACCCAGTCACCCTGGGGTGCCCGCACTCCCCTTATTGTTACTGGTCTATATGCAGAAAGAGTGCTCACACTCCCCTAACTATTACTGGTCTGTATTCAGAAGGAGTGCCCACACTCCCCTGTCGCTGGTCTGTATTCAGAAGGGGTGCCCACACTCCCCTGTTGCTGGTCTGTATTCAGAAGGGGTGCCCACACTCCCCTGTTGCTGGTCTCTGTTCAGAAGGGGTGCCCACACTCCCCTAATTGTTACTGGTCTATATGCAGAATTCTCTTCCAAATACGGTACAGATAACACCTTCAATGTAATAATCCCAATAGCTGATATTGATATGAGCCAGTATTATACATGTTATGTATCTCATTTGAACCTCTCAACAGCCCTGTGAGGAAGGTACCATTATCATTGTCCCTGTTTTACAAAGGAGGAAAACAGGCTGAGAGGAGTTAAATGATTTGCTCATGGTCACAAAGCTGGTATTTAGGGAAAGAAGGATTCCAAACCAGATCTGCATCAGACCCACATAAAACACTTTGTCTTTCTAAGGTACCATGGAATCACAGATTTAGAGCTAGAATGGACAGTAGGTGAAGGTCATCTAGTTCAACCCCTTCATTTTACAGATGAGGAAACAACTTTTATTTTCCCAAATTTTCATTTCTAATGGAGGCTTTTTTCATTATGATTGATAATAAAATGATATGTTTTAGGGGCAGGGACATATCTGGGTTTTTGTTGAACTTAATAAACAGTGCTTACTTACTGTTTGTTGAATTTGGGAGTCTTACTGAGTGAGGAGAGAACAAAAAAAGATTAATTCATAAATCTACCTATTACCTAGTTATAAGGTTTTAGGATGGCCTAGGGAGGTGGGCCTTTCTACATTGCTATAGAGACAAAGTAGACTGTCAGAATGTACTGTAGTATGGAACTTTAAAAAAAAAACCCTAATGATTGGCACTTACGTAGGGGTTTTCATCTTGAAAGGGATTCTGTCTTGGCCAATATTAACTAATTAATTCTCACAACAGGCCTTTGAGGGAGGTAAGAAATTGTCCATGATCAAATTTCACGTTTGAAAGAAACAGCTTTCATGATCAGAATTATAAACCTTTATTAAGCACTTCCATACACATGGAATTGTATTCAGGACACACATCATTGGTTCACATTAGCTGAGTGCCTAGAGGGGGTGTGGTGCAGAACTAAGAATTATGGGAATCTTAAATTAGAAAGGATGTGGTGTATCTTTGAAAAACTCACAAATTGTTATCTATAATTTTCTTTTCCCAAATAGCCTTTTAAAAATGAATCACTAACAGGAAATGCAATGGTTTATTTTTTGGGATGTCATTTTTTTAAATTTATGAAGCACTGGAAATCTCCTTCCATGGTTTATACTAGATCTGATGTGACCTTGGGTTCCCAAAAGGCTGTGTCAGCAGAGAGCAAGGTCTGGCAGGTCTACCAAGCCAGAATAAAAACTTGGAGTACAGGCCTAGTCTGTCATCCTAGGACCAACCTAGCTAAATTTGTAGTGACTCATCATCAGAAAGCTGGCCACCAGTTGACAATTTTTTTTTCAGTCACAGCAACTAATAAGGTTAAGGAGAGGAGGGCAGCTAAGTGGTAAAGAGGATATAGAGTGTTAGGCCTACAGTCAGGAAGACTCATCTTCCTGAGTTCAATCTGGCCTCAAACACTGTGTGACCCTAGGCAAGTCACTTAACCCTCAGTTTCCTCATCTGTAAAATGAGCTTATAAAGGAAAAGGCAAACCACTTCAGCATCTTTGCCAAGAAAACACCAAATGGGGTCATGGAGAGTCATGTGTAACTGAAATGACTGAGCAGTGACAAAATTAAGAAGAGAAGCTGCTATCTGCATTAATGGAGAGAGTATTGAAAGGGACTAAATCCCAGGTAGTTGAAAGACTGAAATAAATGTTGAAAGCTCCAAAGACTCCCAAAAGATAGCAACCTACTCAATTATTCAAAAAAGTTTTGAAAATATTTAATTCTTTATGAAAAAAAAATGTAGTTAATTTCTGGATATAGTGGACAAGAAACCATCAATTTTCTTCAATATCTGTATATATGTACATTATTAGAATATTTTATTTTACAATATAATACAATACAAAAAAATAGTTTCAGTTGCTTTCTTCTGACCTTTACTAAAGCAGTACTGGGTTTTTATAGCATCTATACAGAATGTCCCAAAAGTCTTAGGGCCTTAAAACTGAACTAAGACTTTTGGGCCACCCTGTATAAGAGAGAGAGGTCTAGGTATGTTTATCCTTATTAAAGATGGAAAATTAATTCTAGGGTGAAATTTACATAATAGCTTATATTTGTGTGTGGCACTTTTAAGGTTTGCAGAACAATTTCATGCTTTAAGAATATTACCTCGTGAGGCAGCTAGGTGGCGAAGTGGATAGAGCACTGGCCCTAGAGTCAGGAGGACCTGAGTTCAAATGCGACCTCAGACACATAACACTCCCTAGGTGTGTGACTCTGGCAAGTCACTTAACTCCAATTGCCTCACATAAAAAAAAGAAATCATAGTCATTGTGTGACCGTGGGCAAGTCACTTAACCCCAACTGCCTAAAAAAAAGAGGAAAAAAAAAGAATATTACCTCATCTTATCATCGCAAAGACCCTGGGAGGTTAATGTTATTATTATTCCCCCCTTTACATAAGGGGAACCAAAACACTTGCAGATTAAGTGACTTGCCCACAGTCACACAGATAGTAAGTATCTCAGCAGGATTTGAATTCCGGTCTTCCAGACCCCAGGTCTAGAGCTCTAAAGAATCTATGACAGATCAGTGAGTGTCATGTCTTAGCATTCAATTCAGATGATCAAATGAGACAGTATTTGAAAAAAAAATGCTTAGAGACAGTGTGCAGTACTTAGTAGGTACTATATAAGTACTTATTCTCTTCCTTTCCCAATTCAGAAAAGATCAAGTATTTGTTCTGCTCTGCTAGGTCATGAGAGGACAGATAGATTTAGTCCAGGTCATCCTGGAGCTATCAGGAAGATGGGATAAGCAACCCCATGGCTCCAAGCACTATCCCGGTGACTCTCCAAATCCTAGCCACCATTCCACTATATCAGCCAGTCAGTCAAAAAAATGTATTAAGCACCTATAATGTGCCAGGCACTGTGCCACATTCTGGGGATACAAAGAGAGGCAAAGGCAGTCTCTGCCCAAAGAGCTCACAATTTAATTGAAGAATGCCAAGTCCCCACTAAAACTGAGGAGGAGAAAGGAGAGAGGACCCAATGGCACCAGGGCATGCAGTCTTGCAGCCAGGTGGGGAATTATGAGATGGTTGCCCTAGGCAATCTCCTTAAATGGAGGATGGGGGGGGGTCTCCAATGTCCACCCTTCACCCTCTGCAGTCAGAGAGAGGCCAGGGTCCCAGGGAGAAGGGATACTGAAGAGGTGTGAGACACTGGAAGGTGAATTTCTGGAGACAATGAGGAAAAGCCCAGGAGAACAACCCCAAAGGAAATGTGTTGTCTCTTCCTATTAGAAGATAATTTCTTGAAGTCAAAGTCTGGTGGTTTGGGGGGTTTTTTTGGTTTTCGGTTTTTTTGCTTTTGTATACGTTTTGCTCATGCGTGAAGCACATTGTGAGAGCTCTTTCATACATTCATTCATTCATTATGAAGGGCTTTAAATGCCAAACTGAGCATTTTGTATTTGCTCCTAAGAGGCAATAGAAAGCCCCTGGAGTTTATTGAGTAGAGGTGTGTCTTGATCAGACCTATGCTTTAAGAAAATCACTTTAGTGGCTGAAGGGAGGTTAGATTACAGTGAGGAGAGATGAGGCAGGCAGACAGACCACCAGCAGGTTACTGCAATAGCCCAGGTGTGAGGTGATAAGGTCCCGGACCAGAGTGGTGGTGGCATTGTCAGGGGAGAGAAGGGGGAATATTAGAGAGACATTGTGAAGGTGAAATCAAAAGAAACTGGCAACAATTTGGACGTGGGACTGAGAGATAGTGGAGAATCCAAGATAGAGCCTGAAGGACTGGGAGGATGGTGTTGCCCTCTACACAAATAGGGAAGATTGGAAGTGGGGCAGGATTTTAGAGGGAAGATAATGAATTCCATTTTAGAAATAATGAATTTAAGATATTGGAGATCAGCAGAGAGATTGGGGCAAGATAGGTAGATTTGAGGGTCGTTGGCATAGTGATAGTAATTAAATCCATTGGAGCTAATGAGATCACCAA